TATATTTCTGTTTACTTTGCAAACCTGCAAAGGAACGTTGGTATTCATGTAATCTTTGTATATGTGTGAAACTAGTAAACAAAATATTATATTTCAAATTCATTCAAATTTACTCACACAAATGCGTTCAACTCCGCTTTCTCTCTGACTCATCACACACAAATGTAGCAGAAATAATTATGGGATATATTATTTAATTCTCCCTCGCATATCCTCTTTTTCCTCTGACACACTTTTTACACGCAAAATGTCGTGAACGCTGATGAAAAAACATTACCTCATCCCGATATGACATATCGGGAATGATACTGCAATTGATACATACAGGAAAATGCATACTGCATTCAAGTAAATTTCACGTGTTTCAAGTATTTTATAAGTTTATATATCTCCGCAAATCTATCATAGGCTCATCACAAGCCCATTCAATTTATTTAAAATACATTCTGAATCCTAGTATTTCAATTAAGAATATTAAAAAACAACAATTTAGTTTGCTTGCTACATAAAGTTGAGCCAACTTTTTCTTGCATAGAATTTCATAATATTCTTATAAAGAGTAAATTAATTCTTCTTTTGATAATGTGAGCTTTTTCTCAATTTTCAAAACAAGTATATTTGAAGATTATTGTCTATTATTATATCTACATATATTATCTATTATTATATCTGTATATTAAAATTATTATTGTCTATTATCAAGAAAATATTCTTTGTTGAAAATAGCTATTATTTAGAAGAAGCAAAGCAAATTGAGCAATCGCTCTTCTTAACGGCGGAATGAGATTTTTCTGTGTGTAGTCGCTGATCGATTTAACAACGCCGTAATTTTTTATTGAGAATATACGTAACGCGCGGCGGGGCTTTGACGTTTCGTGGCGTGTGTAATAGTCGGATCCTTGTGACTTTTTCAAGCAGAGACGCAATCGGACCACGTTCACGCCGCAGCAGCTTCAGGAACTGGAATCCCTCTTTCAGAAGACGCATTATCCCGACGTTTTCCTCAGAGAGGAAGTCGCGCTTCGGATATCGCTCTCGGAAGCACGTGTACAGGTGAATCTACCATACGATCACTTCGCTACCTTATCGATTTCGCTTTTCAGTAGTTCATTCAGCTCCCGCCTCGATTTTTCCTCTCGGAATTCTTCAATCAATATATCGCGTTGATTTTAAATGTGTGCCGCCAATGCAAACACGATCGATGCGTCTCATGAGAGAGAAAGCGTGTGTATCTACGTTTATTATAAGTGTGTACATACAACGCGCGTATTTTAACCCTTTATTTGTGTCGAGTCCACTTCGATATCGCATTTCGTTCTAGTCGATTCTATAAATTAATCTTTTACTTATTAACAATATGTTCAGTATAAATATATTATTGCAAATGTGTTATTACATTTTAGTTAAACGTTGAAATATTAAAATAAAATAAAAAATAATGTATACTCTCATAGCTCGTTTGAGAAGAAAAGTCGGAAGTAATTCAAACTGCAAATGGTTAAGTTACAGATCTTTTAATCAAGAGAAGATTTAAGAGCCGATAAGAGCTTATGCACAGTAGTGATGTAGTGATGTAATCAGATAAATGAAAAACTTGAAACTGTAACTTACATAGTCAATAAATATAAAAATTTCTTTAGATATTTTGACTAACAAGTTCTCATATTTGTTGGCTGTGTAAGTCACAGTTTCAAGTTTCTCATTTGTCTGATTACACTACTGTGTATAGACTCTTATTGGCCCTTAAATCTTCTCTTAGTTGTATCATCAGAGCCTTTTTATTTTAATTTTTGTTTAAATATCTTTTTTTGTTAAATATAAGGCATTTTTTAGTTTTATTGAAGAGTGTTAATTAAAGAGAAAGCGTCTCTCGCGATTCGGTAATGTTTAATTAGAAATCGTTCAAGAGAGAACGATCTTTAAGACGATCGGAGATACTCTTCAATTTGGTGTTTCGCGGCGAATTTAGACATTTCTCGATTCTACCGCTCTCGGAAGGTAGGAAGACAAGCCTTTTATCAGGGAAACTATTCGAGATAAAAGCCAATGGCCGCCTTTGCCTGCCCGGCAACCAAAGGGCTAAGAAAACTTGCAACCTCAAAATCTACGAAACGCGAGCTCCCAACGAATTACCTCGTTCCCTAAAACCGTTCACTAATTAAAGCCCGAATAAACTATTTACGGAAAACACGCGCGGTTCAGCCTCATTCGCTTTCCGAGTACGCTTGGAAGTTTGATTAACCAGCTAACGATCGCAATTTATTTCCGCAGCATCTAGCTTTTCACTAGTCGCCGTTTCGTATTTCGTATATAAATGCATGCAAACGTATGAAACGTGTAAAATATTACCGTTTACAACAAGACATCGACAAGAACACAGATCTAAACGCGGACAGTGTGAACTGTGTGTCGAATTAATAAATTCTTTTCTTTTTTCTTTTTTTTTTTGCAATTTTAAGTGATTTTTTCGCTGATTGCGAAAGTGTTCGTAATCAGCGACCATTTTTAATCAGTCTAAATCGGAAAGAGAGACCGCGCGAAATCGAAAATTCTTTGTATTATTGTATCATATAATACACATGTTAATTACATACAACGCGCTTATCCGTACGATTGATTGGCTGATTCAACTGATGCAATTGCAATGTTATAAGCATGATGACGTTGTCTCATCGCACTGAAGCATACATTCGAGATTTTTTCATGTGAGATGAATTTCCAATTCGCGCTTACTTAAGTTTTCAATTTGCAACGTAGAGAATTGTTGTCGTACACACAGAAAAATATCATTTCACTGCCAAGAAAAGCGATTGCATTGAGAAAAAATACCCGCAAGTTTATACAAGGGATATAAAACTCTTTATTTATGTGAAATAAACTTTATATACTACAAACAATGAATATTCAAGTATTTTTTTCAATGTATTCAGTTTATTTTCTTTCAATCATTATCTTCAAGAAAGGATTTCTCTTTTGATGATAGTTCTAAAATAAAAATTCTAGATACGCTCATTATCGTGTAAATTAAAGAAGAATTTATATAACTAAGAAAAATTAATTTTTGTTTTATATTTTTGTTTAATATTTTTTAATATTTTATATTTTTAATACTTAAAATTTTTCCTCAATGAACTCAGTTTACTTTCCTTCAAGTAATAATTATTTTCGACAAAGAATTTCTTTTTTGTTAATAGTTTTAAAATAAATTGATGGTAAATAAATAAATGATGGCAAATTTTAGATACGCTCATTTTATCATGTACATTAAAGAAAAATTTATATAATGAAGTAGAATTAATTTTTTTGTTTTAATTTAATATTTCCTTGATTAAAATGCGAAACTTAGTGGGATTCAGACAGCATTTTGAATCAAGTAACATTTATTTGAATGCAGTAGGTACTTTTCTGTGTGTAGGAAGAAAATAGACTGGTAATTTTCTTCGAAGGAGACTCATGAAAACATTGCAATATGTTGAAATCTCCTTTTGGTATTGCATATACGCGCGTGTGTGTGTATAGTACGAGTTATTTGATTATTCACTGTTATGACATGATACGGATTGTCTGACCGATTGATTCCCTCGTCGGGAGCGATCGCGGGAATGTCAGGGCAACGACAACAACTTTTCAATCAAGTCGTCTTGTGCGCAGATGTCTCGATTCATTAATGATATTAGAACGCGGACAAAACTGGTAGACTCGATCGTATCACAAAGGCGCCGTGCGTACATCTGGCTGCGATAACGGCTATTACGCGCGGGCCATTGTGCGAAAACGATTAGACGATGAAACGACTGAGGCGAGGTTGTCTCTGCGCAGCGGGCATGTACGAGCGCGAGAAACTCGGAAGTTCGGCAAGTAAATTCGATCAGTGCTTTCGAGTCTCCTCAGCCGTGATTCTCGAGTGAAAGGGCTAAAAGGGGAGTGTAAACTATCCACGGGGGTGTTTGATAATTGGTAGTATCGCCGGCACAACTCGGAGAAATCCCTCGCCATTTATGGGCTTCAATGCACTCAAAAAAATATTTCGCTGGTCCAGGTGGAATCCTAAACATCGTGGTTAAAATTTATCGTTTTTGGTATTTACTGGAAAATTGCCCGTGACACATAGAATTTACAGCAGCAGCATCCCAGCAATATCTGCGGGCGAATTTAGATCCCAATTAATAATCTGAATTACTAAGGCCTAGTTGCGCTAACATTATTTTGGTTTTAAGCAAAATTTAAACATATATCTATCTTTATCTTCCTTTTTAAATAAATAAAGACATATTTAAGTCTCAATTAAAACCAAAATAATCGAGCCTAAGAGATACACAAGAGACTTTCTTGCTAAATTTTACGAATAATTCAAATATAAATTCGGTTTCTGCCATCTATATCAATTAAGTACAAAACACAAAAGCGATATCGCTGTGTTTGTTAGTCGTTTATCTTAGTTCATTTCTCGTATCTAGATAATTTCTGTGATTACTGCAAGACCATTTTTTTGAGTGTGGTATAATTAATTTCTTAGAACACGTTTAAAACAATTTGTTAAGATATGATATAATTAATTTCTTTTTAATGAACTTTAGATGGAATTATCCATTAATCATTAAGTTTCACATTAGTCAATTGCACTAAATTCAATTGATCAAAATTAAATTTAGTCATTTGTAAAGATAATTAACGCAGTTGCATATCGGCGGTTCGATAACATCAAAATATCGTATAAACATCCCTAATTAAAAGTAGGAAAAGAATCTTTATTGGTATATTATGAGTTATTGCCGAAAGGTTTGTCGTATTTGTTAATTAAATTAGAAAACGAAATTATCCAGTTCCGAAGAATTAATAATTTTAAGAAAAAACACTTAAATTATCAATTAATAATTTTTGCGGACAACATTGATTCAGTATTTTTTTAGGTATCTAATGAGAACTTTTCTTTTAACAATCAAATTTCTAATGAGAATTCAATAGAAAGATGACAAATCTTTCGCAGCAATTTAATAGAATATCAATAAAGAAACTTTTCATTCTGTAACATCGTGAATGCACGAAATCGAAAACGTGAACAATATCATTCGCATGTTCGAATTCTCTTCTTCGGGATTGTTCAAACATCAAAAAGAATAATCTTATTCTTAGCGGAAATCCTCCTATATATTGTCTCAAGAGAATTCTCTTGAAACGAAAAGAAAAATATTTCAACTTCCAAAAAAGAACTCTAGTTGCTATTTCTCTAGTTCCTATTTCTTGTAATCTCATATTTTAAGCCAGAACTCTTACCGAAAGAGTGTTCTTCTTTTAATAAAGTCGACTATGAGTGAAAAACCTACTAGATATTATTTTAACTTTTGCTCTTTTAAATCAAGAGGAATATATTTACTTGAGACAGAATATCCTGTTACTAGGAAAAATTTCTATGTGGAACAAGATTTTTTTACTGTAGATAAAAAACAAAATTTCTCTAACTCTTTAAGAATATATTGTGTTTGAAATACTTTCTTTTCGGAAGAATTCTCTTGAGGTTATCTCCATGCAGAAAATATTGTGGTAAAAATTACGTTCGATTGTTTCTTTTTACAATGTTTTTGCGAAACTGGACTATACTGAAGTTGAAGTATAAATTAATATAAAAATAATAAGAATAGTAAATTTGACGATCTATCAAATCTAAAAAATATTCAAGCAATTACAATAATTTACAGAAAAATGCCAAACTTGCATAATTCTTTAAACGAATATTTTTCAACGAATATATAGTAATTTTGTTCATAATACAGTACAGTTCAAGAACTACCGTAAAAATTCGTTGTAATTTTCATTACAACATTTTGTTCTTAAAAAGAGGAAAAAAACATTTTCTTGTTCTTCTATCTTCAGAGGATTTCCGCTAAAGAGAAGATTACATTTTCGTAGGTGAGAATTGTCGCTTTCTGGTCATCGCCTTTAGTCTCTTAGTTTCATTTAATCGTTGTGACGTTCGCCATTTTCTCGCCCCGCGGTGGTGGTCAAGGGGGCGGAATCACGGCAACGATCGGTCAGGTCAGCGGTTCCTCCGCAGGTATGGTTTCAAAACAGACGGGCAAAGTGGAGAAAGCAAGCTCGGTTACAATTGCTGCAGGACGCGTGGCGAATGCGATGCTTGGGTTTAGGGAGCGCCACTCCGTTGCTGCTCGGTCGGCCACCCCCTGTGAGTCCTGGCGGCATTGAGAGGACTGCTGACGCCTCTTCGACGTCGCCGTCGTCCTCATCAGGTGCGAACCTCGCGAGCTCGAGCGACAAATTAGCCGACACCGGCGGTCCTGTGCCGCCCGCAGTCTGCAGGGACTTCAGGATCCTGCCGCCGCCGCCACCAGGGTGAGAGGAACTAAATATTTTTTCAAGCAATTTTTTACAACACCTCTAGACTCTATTAAACACTAAATATCTTCCATAATAAGCGACTTGAAAGTACTCATAAATTACATACAGAAAATAGATGTACTAAAAAAAAATATAATCTCATCCTTAGCGGAATCTTCTTGTATGTAGCCTCAAGAGGATTCTTCTAAAACCAAAAAGAGAATATTCTGACATCTAAAAAAGAAGGACTCTAGTTACAAAATGTTATCCCTGGTAAAAATAGTTTATAGAGAACGATAGAATAAAATAATCATTTTCTATCGTTTTGAATATGGATTTTGGTTCGTGAATTTACAAAATGTGAATAGTATTCTATCGTATACAATAGAATACAATAGATAATGATAGAATTTCTATCGTTAGTTTCCTATAGAATACAAAATCGTATATAACCAGATAAAATACGGTAAAATACGATAGGATTCATATCTGAACTTGCGAGCGAGAACGATACAGCTTAAAGAAAACGATTCAAATTGATAGCATTATCAATTTAAATCATTTTCTTTAAGCTGTATCGTTCTCGCTCGCAAGTTCAGATATGAATCCTATCGTATTTTATCGTATTTTATCTGGTTATATACGATTTTATATTCTATAGGAAACTAATGATAGAAATTCTATCTATTGTATTCTATTGTATACGATAGAATACTATTCACATTTGTGAATTCACAAACCAAAATTCATATTCAAAACGATAGAAAACGATAGAATGATAGAATTTTATTCTATCGTTCTCTATAAACTTTTTTTATCAGGGATTTCCTGTAATCCTATATTCTAAGCAAACATTTTTACTAAAAGAGTATTTCTTCCAATGAAGAGGGGTAATCTCGTGTTTAGAATATTTTTCTTTTGGTTTTAGAAGAATCCTTTTGAGGTCATATATAAGAATATTCCTCTAAGGATAATAAAGATTATATTTTTGTGTATGTCAATAAGTAGTTGAGCATTAGAAAATAATTACTAAAAATAATGTATCAGTTATTAACTTGAAATTATTTATTACGTGAAGCTTGCATATCATTTACTTTTCTTACAATAAGTGATCTGAAAGTACTTATCTTATTACTCATAATTTGTCAATATGTATAGACGTATCAACGAGTGAACAGTTATTAGTAAATAATTATTAAGATTAATGTATCATTACATTAATTACTGTGCAAAACTGTGTAGCATTTACTGATTATTTTAGCGCTTTCAATATTCTTTTTCTACAATTCTTTTACTTCTAAACAACACATATCTAAACATTTAATCTAGAATAAAAATTTTTTATTTGGAAAGAAAATTAAAGCCCTCAAATTAAATTTAAGAAGAACACTTGTGACGTTAATTAATGAAAATCCAGAGATCAACGTGCATCTGTTCACTTTTCCAGAAGTAGAATGAATTGTATCCGAGAAGAAAATTTCTAAAGATAAGAAAAGAAATGTGCGATCTCAATTCATTCGATTCGAACTTCACTGACCTTCTGTATTTAATCCAAGGCTGTTGTGTGTTTGCAGATACTCAGTACCTTTGGACAAATCACCCGATAGGATGAAGTGCCGATGTGCCACGCCGCCGAGGATCTGCGCGAGTCCTGTGGACCGAAGCGACATCCTAGGGACGAGGGAGCGGCCGCAGGAAGCTGAGATGGACCTCACTCTGAAGGGACACCATCACGTAACCACCAGGCATCCGCCGGTCACGACGCTATTTCATCATCTGTCGAGCAACCCTCAGCAGCAACAGGACGTCGCACCGAGCATGGACGAGCCTCTGGACGTCACCCTGAACAGCAGCAAGAACAACTGAACCGCGAGCTGCGAGGTGAATTCACTCTGAATGACGAAGACGGTGCACGAAATCAAAACGATCAGTCGGTCTTTTCTTACCTTGAAATTCGTTTCATCTTTAAAACGCTTGATCGAGATACATACTGAATCGCTCCTGTTAATCAACGCATATGTTTTATTTGTTTCGCGTAAAAAAAGCGATATTCAACGGTAGGAACTAATAGTATCAACAAATATGAATTCTATTATTCTAAAAAGAAAATAGTTTAATTTTTAAATAGTTATTTTAATTTGAATAAATTACACATTATATTTTGTGTGATTAATACAAGCCATGAATTATCTTCTCTATTTGTTAATTTAGAACAAACATTTTTAACCGCTCCTACCGAATTCCTATGTTCATTTTTACATTTTTTCTGAAGTGGAACATAATTTTATATATAAATTCATGCATTTGAGAAATAAGAAACGCGAAGAATTCTAATCACATCACGGGACGATATCGTTACTTTGCATCAACGTCAAGAAGAAGAGATCGAGCATTTTGTCAAGCGTCGATTATTACGACGTGGATATCGCGATACTTATATTGTTACATATTTTATCTCGTTACACTTATTGTAAATTGAGCGAGCATATAATTTAACGGTGTATTTAACGTATCGAGAATGTCTAACGGGTACCGTCTTTACACGTGCGACAGTAACATCGGGTGGTGTGTGTTTAGTGATTCCGCATTGCAAATTGTAATGATTCAGAATGAAGTATTTTTAAAGCAATATTTTATAACGCGACAGACACACGTATACAAAAATACACTAACACACTTATTAAACACTAAATATCTTTCACAATAAGCGATCTGAAAGTACTCATAATTTACATACAGAATAGATATATCGATGAGTGATCGGTCATCAATAAACAATTATTAGAAATAATGTATTATTATTAAGTTGCAATTACTGAATATGTGTCCAATTTATATTATTTGCAGATGTGATTCCGGCGTTCTCAAAATTTTTTTCTTATAAATTCTTTTAAATAACACATTCCAAATACGTAAAGATAACAACTTTTAAAGGTTTAAATTTGAAAAGAGAAACTAATATCTTTAAAATCTTAAAATTTGACAATATTTTTTAGCCGATCATTTCTTGATGCATCTGTTGTACGAAAATCTCATTTCGCGTTTAGAGAATAAAATTTAAAGAGAGATCTCGCGCGAAAATTTTAAATCCTCTAGATACGAGAAACATCTCCATGTGTTCGTTAAACGACGATTTTAATGTAAAAGATGGCAACATGTGTTAATGTGTTTTTCGATATTAAGTCAATTGTTAAATTGAATTTTAGTTTAAATTCTCATATTAACGCGTACGGTTCTCAAATAACGTATTTTTATTATTGAATAATAATAAAGATCTACAGTTCTTTCAGTTTTTCAGGCAAAGACGTGCTGTTATAAAATACGTAGTTGCAAAATATTGTTCAGTTCGCCAAGTACATGTATCGTCTTTGTAGAGAAATTACTATTTATTATTAACACCATAGAAAGAGAAACGAATAAATAATATTTCGTATATAATAGGAAGAAAGGACTGAAAGGGTTCAGCGACAAAAGTGCAAACGATTTTTATTCCAGTGCAGTCGTCTCATAGTGAGAACTTTCGAAACTGAGATCGTATTGTTAACTAAAATTAAACTTCGCGAACTTGTAACTCGTTATTTACTGTCTCGGTGCATGATTTTCATCTGTAAAAATTTCCGAAGGAAGTAGACGAGCGTTGCGAGAACGCGTTTCTGTACAATAAATAATGTAGCATTCTTGATTGAAGCGTTTCGTGACGACCGGCGACGATCAATCAAAGAAATAGCTCTGTTAAGTGTCAAGACGTCTGGATTTTTGAAAGATCTACGATGTAAGATATCTGCTATACGTAATTTGTACGTATTGACTACAAATATCATTTAAAATGCATTTGTGCACCTCCGAATTCGCACCTGCATACGCGACATGATGATTGAAAAAGGTAGGAAGTACTCTGTAAAAGAAGCTCTTCCATCAGTTATCATGTTAGTGTTTTTGATAAGAAACCTCGAAGTGTTAATGCTCTGTAAATAGATCTATAATTATAATTTATATATAAATATAAATATATAAATATAGCAATTAAAATTTAGGATATATATTTGTTTTAGAAATAAATATAATCGCAAAGTAATGTCTTCCACTCAATTACTTACAATTTTTTTCCTATATTTAAAAATAATTAATTTTATTAAGACCAACAATAACGTCATGATCCTAATATATTTGAAAATTAGAAATTATATACTTTAAAATAAAAGGCCGTTTGATCAGTTATTAAGCCGTATTACTTAAGAATAAACAGGATTTTGAGTTTACTATTGATTCGTAAAATTTGAAAATAAAGTATGTTTAATTTATAATTGAGTTGTATTACAATCTCTCTCTCTTTCTCTCTTGTTTCTTTAGCAAGGTGAGTGCCAGCTCGTAACGAAAACTTTGGAACTAATGTACACGTTTTTAGCCGCGACATAAACCCTATTTAGCCGAGACTCAAATCTTACTTATCTACACTGGTAATCAGGTTTTTATCGGCACTGTTAGATGGCGCCAGATAACTCTTTGCAGATATTTACAAAAATTAATTAAAAATAAGAATTTAACAGATGCTTAAAGATCTGTTAGATTTGGCCAAGTTATGTTTGCATCAGACTATGAATTGCGGATTGCAATCAGATTAATTAGGTAATCTAAATTTTAGTTCTGCTTTACTTGATTGGTTCGATTGCAATCCTCAATCCATAACTTGACTACATAACGATGTGTAAAGGTCTATATTTAAATAAATTTGATAATTATATATTGCATATGCATAAAATAATATCATTCTTCGGTCAATTTCCTTAGGCATCATGGAACTATGTAAGTTTGTTTGAATAATCCTTAATTGAGCTAAATCCAGTGACGTGATATATAAACTAAACATTCGTATACTCTGCTATAGCAAGGAGTGAAGCACTAATGGCAATTCAACTTTCTCACTGTTTAAACTATTAACTGTCAACTTTATTTTGCGGACAAAATACTTGATTTATGTCATTATGTGTAAGCCTATTGAATTTTGCTTATATTTCAATATAAGAGAAAAAATGCACCGAGATTATCTCATTGTTAAATTCATCACTACTTCAATTGTTCTATCACTATCTTAAATCTATCACTACTTCATTTTTTTTTTAATTAGAAATAAAGGGTGTACAAAAAAGTGTACGGGTCTAGGTGTTGAGCCTATCCGACCCTTTATCACTACCTCAATTTGCCAATTTGTGCTGTGGCAGCTCGTAGTGGAGACTTTGGAATTAATTTTGCAAAAATAACGAGTCTAAATCAAATGGAATCATCCTGCTTAATTTAGACCCGTTATTTCTGTAAAATTAGTTCTAAAGTCTCCGCTACGAGCCGCTATCGTACACATCGACAAATCGAGGTAGTGATCTTCCTAAAGGGTGAGATAGGTTCAATACCTTCACCTAGTACACCTTTTGTACATCCTATATATCTAAATAAACGAAAACGAACGAGGTAGTGATAGAACAATTGAAGGCCTTTAAAGGCCAAATCATACTAGCAATTGACGATTGACGATTGAAGATTAGATTTTGACGAATCAACGAGCTTCAACTTAGCTTGCTTTATCCGAATTGGTCAAGTTCCAACCTTCAATCGTCAATCATCTATCGCTAATTGTTAGTGTGATTTAGCCTTTAAACCTGTTATTTCTATAAAACTAGTTCTGAAGTCTCCGCTACGAACCGCCACCGTACAAATCGATAAATTGAGTAGTGATAGATTTAAGAATATGATAGAACAATTGTGATAGTGATGGATTCAACAGTGAGTTAGGTGCATTTTTTTCTTATATTGAAATATAGGTTGACGGATGTATCAGCTGATTCTTTCGGCTGCTAGTGATCGTAAGCTCTTTTTATAGGACAGCATTTTCTACGTAATTATGAATTGTTTGTAATTGAGAACGTAAAATTTTATTTCGCTACTTTTAACAATTCAACGTCAAGCATGAATTTAACGATCAAAAGAATGTTGGAAAGTTTGAAAAATACGAGGTGTATACTCAATAAGAGTACACGTGTTTTAATGTTTGGTAATATAAATACACAAGCCAGATATAAAAGTATTACAACGAAACCTAACGTTATAATACAGAATCAATATCAACGAAAGGATGTGAACGTTGGATTGTATGGATATAGCTTGTTGGCAAGTAATGCTGCAGATATGATTATCACAATTTCCTGTATAAAATTTTGTACATTTATCATAACATAAGCCTGTTTTATAGTGCAGATTAAGATTTGCATGTCAAATGTTCTTTATAAAATTTACATAATATATGCTCTATATTAATCTTTAATCTTTTGACTTTACTAATAGAATTTTTGAATCTATATATCCTATATCATCTATATATCTATATCATCTATATATATTGTAATTTTATCAATGTAGGCTATACCCATCGTTGCTTTTGGGCTTGGTACATGGCAAATTAAGAGGTGGCGATGGAAGTTGAATTTAATAGACAATCTAGAGCAACGTACCACAGCTGAGCCAATTGATTTACCACTGAAGTAAAATCACAAATTACTGATTCTAAAATCTGAATTTACATTTGTAAGATACCATGTGCTTTGAATTATAGCTATTTAACATAAATATATTCTTCCAGCCTATATGAATTAGAAGACAAGGAATACTATCGTGTAAAAATAAAAGGCAAGTTCATATATGACAAGGAATTCTTGATAGGACCCAGAAGCCTTATTATAAAAGGTCAAGGATTAAGTGAGAAAGGTGGTGGTGTATTTTCTAGCAAATCAAACACAGGATATTATGTGGTTACACCTTTCAAACTAGAAGATCGCGAGTAATTACATCTTGCTTTTCTTAATAGCTGGAAAGAGCAATAGTTATGTTATACTAATATTACTTACTTAATTTTCTATTGTGGCATTAATTATTTCAGCATGACTATCATGGTGAATCGTGGATGGATTCCTAAAAACGCACGCTTTACATACAAACAGGAAGATAAGATTACGAATTCGATGGAGATTGTGGGTATTGTTAGAACCACTGAAAAGCGACCGCCGTTTGTACCACTCAATAGTCCTATGAGTGGAATCTGGCACTACAGGTAAAAGATCTCTTTTCCTTTCCTTTAAAACAATCTATTATATCACTATCCAGACATTATATTATTTATATCACTACCCAGACAACATAATGTCTAAAATCGGGACATAAGACATCTTAAAGATAATATTTAAGACACTTCAGACATTTATACGTAAATCACCTGAAAGATATCTTAAAGATAATCTTATATCCCGATTTTAGACATTATGTTGTCTGGGTATGTTAACATGTATACAGAATATCTGACACTAAGGTTAGTATTCATAGTCAAATCTTATTTCAAAATCGTCTTAACTAATATCTTAAGATACGAATACACCTCTGTGATTGGTTCATGACATTTTAAGACAGTACTTAAGATGATCTTAAATATAAGGTTGGACTATGAATACCGGCCTAAGTGTTCCATACTTCATATAGTAGATGAAATCAAACTTAACAAAAAAGTTCTATATCATTTTGCAAATAACCATGTAGGTTTCTTAGTTATTAATCACAGGTAAAATTAGCAGATGGTTGTGCACAATAATGCACCAACGTTCTTTAATTAGTAACTAAATTAAATTAGTAACTAAAGTAAATTTACGTGATTATTTGCAAAACGGTAAAGGACTTTTTATTTAGTTTGATCTAATCTAGAAGCACATGACGGCAAGCGTTGTTATCACCGTGTAACGTGTGATCAATCTTCTTTGATGAATAATTCAAATTTTATGTGGTTGTTTGCGAAATGGTAGAGGAATTTCGTGTTCATTTTGATCTAATCTACAGGTATACAAAATATAGGACACTTAGTGTCAAATATCCTGTATATATTCATAAAATCATTGATCTAATGATACTGTTGACCACTTAAGTAACCAATCGGTATTTTAGTACTATTAATTGTGAATAATGCAATTTTGTACATTGCTGTATTTCAGAGATTTAAAGGAGATGGCAAAGGTGGCAGAAGCAGAACCCGTGTACATAGAATTGTCAGTTGGTTATGGCACTCCCAAAGGTCCAATCGGCGGTCAGACGAAAATAGTTTTAAGGAACGAGCATTTAAGTTACATAGTCACTTGGTACGGACTGTCTATCAGTACAGCGTACATTTGGTATCGACATTTTATAAAGAAATTGCATGTTTTGTAATCGCTTTTCTCACGTATCGATATTTTTCTGATATAAATTCGAAAGGTATAAAAAGTGTGAAAATATAACTATAGGTACTCTTGTAGTTTGCGTTACTTCCTTAAATACAAGCTACATCATAGCCTTAATAAGTCGTTTTATCGCATCACCTTTACAAAACGTGTCAAGAAATAGAATGCATTATAAGGTAAAATTTAATCTCTAACGAATTCAGAATTGATTACCGACGTTACGACATATTTGTCATCTTTGTTCTCTTACAGTCTTCGTTAAGCGTCTTACGTAATATTGGCAAACATGATCATCACGCAGATTATTCGAACCAAGGTAAATTATTGAATCGAGCAAAACGAAACGGGTGCAAAACTGGAGAAGAACACGTAGCTCGTAACATACTTTATTTCATAAACATAACAAGTGCGAGTGTGCTCCGTTTCGCAGAAATATCATCCAGTTGCTCCCTCGGTGAGGGGGAGGGAGGAAGAAACACCCCCGATCTTCTCCTTCGCTACCGTTAACAACGATAATGACAACTAATAACAGCGATTTTCACAAATCGCTAGACTAAAAGAGCCGCCAGCCGATGGTCATGGTGTATACAATTTACTTCAACGAAACATTCAGCATAAAAAATACCTTTATACAAATATGAAAATATACAATATACAAGTTACATTTATTTCGTGGTATGTCCGCATTATATATACTACTAATAATAACTATATATATAATGTTAATAATAATAATAACAAATTTAATTATGATAAATCTAAGAATAATAACGATATATATATATATATATATATATATATATATATATATATATATATAT